GAGAGGCAGGTCTCCCCTGAGCCTGCTTTGCTCCAGGCTCAGCACCACCAGGTCCCTCAGCTGCTCCTCACCACACTTGGGCTCTAGACCAGCTTCATTGTCCTTCTCTGGTCGTGAGGGGCCCTTCTGGTCGTGAGGGGCCCAGAACTGACCCCAGGATTTGAGGTACAGCCTCCCCAGTGCCGAGTTCAGGGAGACAATATCTCTGCCTTTAAGAACCAAGTGCAAGTTATGTTCAGTCATTTCCATGTTTGAGTTGTTTGACCTGGTGCATTCTTTTTCCCTCCAAACTAAGATCTTGTCACCTAACAGGGGTCTGGTGTTGATTTACGGTATCTCAGTTGATAGTCTGTTAATTTTCAGGTGAGGAAGCAAAAATGGAGTTAGATTTTGAAGTACCTTTCAGATATCAGCTTTGAAGAGGAAAAGGGGAATATTTTTATATAATGCATCCTTGCTTGGTGATGAGTCCTCCAGGACAGTTGTGGAGGCCAGGCTTGATGGCGTGATTTCAGGGGAGGATGAGTCCATCAGGGCTATAAAAGAGGTTAAACAAATCTGCAGAGGTTCCTAAGCAGTTGGTGGTTGGAACCAGGAGGTTCTTGGCCAAATGATCTCTGTGTACTGCTTCTTACACTCCATCAGTAGTAGTGGATGGTTGTGGAGACAGCATGCTGAGCTAGATGTGCCTTTTTTTTAGGTCTTTTGTAGCAGTGCTCAGATTTCCACACTTGTGCTTAAAAATGAAAGGAGATACAGGGGCTGAATCGGGAGTTCCTGAAGTCCCACATGATGAACGTGCACGGGCAGTTAAATTGTCCCTGTGGTGTCACAGGAGTAGGTTACTTTCTGCAAATAGTTTTTTACTTTTCTGGTAGCTGTCAAACCAGAGGTTATAGTCTGTGTGCTAATTTGTTGTCATTTATGACAAACCTTGCCATAAATATTTATCTGTGTTCCCAGAAGTCTCTAATGAGATAATGTGCCTCCATAGCAGAAACTCCTCTTCCAGTGCTAGAGAATTGTATGAATATTTAATCACCTGCTGAGCACTTGAGAAGCCCAGGGTCTTCCCTTCAGATGATTGTTTTCTTTGTGTCTAAAAGGATTATTTTGGATTTTTTTCTGAAGCTAAGTTACAGTTACCTCCTTGGTGCATTTAGGGAGGGAACATGTTACAGTGGATGACTTAGGCTTCCACAGAAATCCAGATGTAATTAATAACCCTATTTACAAGCTGAGAATGCTTTCTGTCCTCCTAAAAGCCTGGTGATTTCACCAACAGGCTAAACATTGTGTCCGTTCTCAATTACATGGGATTTTTTTTTTCATTGCTATTTATTTGGAGCAGAAGAGAAGATGGCAGGAAACACTCACATGGCTGGGATCAACCCTTTGCCTAAATATTGATGAATTTTGATAGCTGTAGGTGTCTGAATCTTTTAACCTCTGTTGAAACTCTCTCCTTTATCTTTTAGGAAACCATGCCAAAATAGTTGCTGCTCCAAAATGTTGCTGACTTTGATCTCTTGTTAGCGATCCTTGCTCTGAGGTGCTGTAGGTGACAGAGTCCTTTTGCCTGTGTGGTACAAAATGAGTGTAACGATGGCTGGCTTACCACAAGGCCTTTAAGGCTTGGTGCTGATGCAGGCTGAAAGGGGGTTGTGCTCATTCCAGCATCTCCATCGTTTCCCCTTCCAGGCAAAATTTGCTTGTTCTGAGCTTGAGGGACAGCAGACTTGGAGAGTGTTTTAATTTTGTGCTAAATCTGCATGCTTGTTTATAAAAAGTGAACACTTGAGCATTTTTCAGCTGAATGAAATAGGAAACCTATGCCAGAGTCATCAGGAGCTCATGAAGCATACCTCACAAGTGATCTCCAAGCAGTCCACGTGCTGCTGTTCCGTACAGAACGTGCTACAGCTGCTTGATGATACTGATGACTTGGAAAAAAACGCTGCAAGCTCACCCCAGTGTCACTCCTCTCCTGGCAGCTCGTGCCTGCGGTCCTGGCTGGAACAAGACACATCTTGCCCCACCTGCAGAATGTCTCTGAATGTCACCGACAGCCACAACGCGAGGGAGGATCAGCAGAGGGAAAACGTGGATGAGAACCGGGTCCCCACGGCCGCGGCAGAGGGCAGGCCACGCGTGAACCAGCACAACCACTTCTTCCACTTTGATGGTGAGCTGAGCACGTGTGCCCCCCGATGCTGACGCCCAAATAAGTGCAGGGAACAGCCTTCTGGAGAAGGGAATTCTGTCCATGCTTTGATTGAAACTTAAACTGTGCTTCTGCTTGCGTGTGGCAGACGCGCTTCAGATACGTGTCCCTCAGGCTGTCCAGAGCTACAGAGGTTTTGTGAAAGGTTTTGTGCTCCTTTTTTTGCTTGATTTGTCATGCTTAGCAGCTTTATGGCTGGTGTTTATTTGTTGTGTGCCATGTTGACCAGCAGGATGGGAAATTCACATGTCTTTTGTTACCGGGTGACAATCGGTGACAGCCAAAAAGGAAAAAACCTCTGTGGTGAAGTCTAAACGTGGTTCTTTGCCCTATCCCCAAGCTAATGTGAGGTTGTCAGAACTCTATTTGCCGCTCAGTTTGCAGGAGTGCAACGCTTGGTTAGGAGCAGAAGACTGCAGAAGCTTCTTCTTACAAGGAGTCATGTAACTGGAGCAGTTTTACATGATAATTTTTTCAGTGGTGTGTTACAAGTACTCAAAAAGCAGATGTGATTACAGACCACGATGAGTTCTTTGTGTGCAGACAAACTTGTTCTGCAAGTGACAATTTCTGTTGCTTATCTTCCAGATTTTGTTAGCTTTGTTATCAGTGTGTAGTTGTCTCCCACAGCTTCCCAGGTTTTTGGTGACAGTCTTCCTGTGTCGCAGCAGGTTTCACCAGTGCAGATACTCAGGTTTGGGCTCTGTCCATGTGGAGCTCTTATGACGTAGCTGAGATGCTGCAAACTTAGGGATTGACATGTTCTCCATCAGTGCTGTTATTGCACTGTTTGGAGATTGTGGGAGAAGAAAAATGGGCAGAGAAGGGTCAGATGCTTCTAGGAACACTGAGATTGACTGTTAGCTTCTTGCATGGTTCCAAATTTTGGGGTGCTTTAACACCAAAAAAGGTGTTAAAGAGGACGTTTATGTTTAGAATACCACTCTTCTTAGATAGCTGTCTTCCCCAATGTTCTCCTGTGCCTTGGGAACATTAAAACAAGAAGACAAGGATGTATTGTTTTCTTGATCCTCTTCTGGGTCTGAGGTTAAGCCACTGGGAGTGTTTGAAGAGAATATCAGCAGTTAGTGATTTACTCCAGCCACCTCTGCTCAGGAGACCCTGGGGAGGGATTGCACTGCAGAGCTCCCCGTACGCACCTTGTACTCACGTTAAATACATGTAGAAGAACTTTGCCTGCTGAGAACCTTGTACTCTTGCTTGACTTTCTTGGTGATTTCTCATTCTTAGGCTCTCGGATTGCCAGCTGGCTGCCCAGTTTTTCAGTAGAAGTGATGCATACTACAAACATCCTCGGTATTGCACAAGCCACCAACTCCCAGCTTAACGCCATGGTAAGGCTGCCTTAGTAGTTTGCACCTTGTGTTGGGTGGGGGAATTGGGAGGTGTAGGTGGAGAACATAAGGGAGAAGGAAGTCAAAACAGTGTTTAGATGCTATGTGAAAGCTATTTGAGTGAGAGAAGCTTTGTTTTCATGAAGTTAGGGCTTTATGTTGCTTCAAATGTGCAAACATAACATGTCTGGAGGCAGATAAATGAGGGAGAAACCCGTACTCGCTGTAGAGATAGCGAACTTTCAGCTCGCTTAGTGCAGATTCTTCAGTTCTTTTCAGTACCTTCACTTACAACTTGCAGCAGCCAAGGGTATGAGTTAAACCAGAGAGTTCAGCTGTTGGTCAGGTGGTAACTGATCAAACCCATTCTACAGCTTTGGAATTTTTTAGTTTTCATTTTTAATAGCACTGAGCTCCAAGGTGGCCATTTCTGTTTGAGCATCTTCCCAGCATGAGGTGAGTGGGGCTCTCTACAGCACAGTCCACTCCTGCTGGTTCATGGTGATGCTGGGAGTGTTCAGGATGAAGTCCCACATTCATTGACTTCATACATAAACGCTAATGCAGTAGAAAAAGAGAAGGTTGTGGCCTCCTGAAGCACCCTTGGTTCATTTAGTTGAAGTGCTTTTTTAGTTGAAGTTCCCTTTGGGCTCTTAAAGCTACTGTGTGCCCTAGCATGTTAATAAAGGTTCAGTGAGGCACCTCGCCCAAGTGATGGAATGTTCTCAGTGTGAGATCTTTCCTGTAGCCTTCACTACTATTTAAGCCTCAACAGGAAAAGGCCAGTTTTTAGGGGGTTTGTGGCAGAATGGGAAGGGAGTGATAAGATGTCAGCAGCTGATTTACTTGTTAAATATACAGGAAATTTCCATCTGAGGTCAGTTTAGTTTTTTTTTTACTGGTCACAGTGACACATGGGCTTTTGTTAAAGATGAATCATAATTTGTTAGAACTGTGTATTATTCAAAGTACAGTAACAACTTATATTAAAATGCCTACTTCAGTGGAAAGGCCCAGGTTAGCAAACTATTCAAGTGTTACCTGTTTCCGAGAGAGAATAAGTAAAATTCTCCTTTGTGTTACTGAATAAAAACCTAGGGAAGTATTTTGAGGCAAAGGCCAGAAGTTGAAATGCTAAATCAGTTGTTTTGGTTGCAGGTTAGTACAATGGAAAGTTGGATTTGCTGTAGTTGCTTCCGTTTGAACTCGTGGTCAGCTGGTGCTCAGTTTTTGCTTTGCTCTTAAAACACCTTCAGCCCTTCTTTCCTTCTTGAGTTTGTTCTCATTGCCTCCCTCCCCCCAGCTTTCAGCATTAGTTAAAATATAGATTTTGATACTTAATGAAGTCTAGCTGTTGGACTCTAAAAGCATATTATTTGTCTGCCCTCTTACTTTTATCTGTTTAATTTGGCTATTATTTAAGTAGCTTGAAATTCAATAATAACAGTTCCTCAGCAACTGGGCTTCATTTATTTGAGCTTTCAGACCCTATCTGAACTGGTTTATAGGCAGTATGGCTGGAAAAAGTATTTATTAAAAATTAGTCTACTTGTTCCAGATGGTACTGGTAAGGTCAACAAAGTGAATTTTTATTGGTTTTTTTTTTTTTTTTTTAGTGTTGATCTAACTTCCAGTTACTAATGTGAATTTTTATAGATCTTTATTAAGATCTGTATTTGTCCTATTATAAATACCATCTCGGAGCTGTTCATCTTTTTAAAATCTTATTCTCTTGAGATGTTTACACGCTAACTGGTACCAGCATTGACTGCTGATAGTGACTGTACAACCCTTGTTTTCTCCAGGCCCACCAGATTCAGGAGATGTTCCCTCAGGTTCCATATCATTTAGTTCTACAGGATCTGCAGCTAACTCGTTCTGTAGAGATCACCACTGACAACATCCTAGAAGGCCGCATCCAAGTACCTTTCCCCACACAGGTAAGCCATGAGACCTAGGACAGCATCTAAAATGACTGATTTTCTTTTTTCCCCCAGAACAGACCTTGTTTTTAACGAGTGGAGTGTGAGAGAAGTTGAAGCACTGGTGAATCCAGCTTAGCTTAAGGCAATATTCTTCAGATTTTACCTGTAGGGAGATGGTGCAGTGGGAAGCACCAAACCACTTTTGGCAGCCTGGCGTGTTAGAGCTCCATGTTGCACCATCTGCCCCAGTTGGACTGTCTCACAGTGGGGGGTAGTTGAGGTGTATGCATCTGTGCCTTGCTGTGGGCCTCAGTAGAAGGATGGAGTAGGGTGGGTCTCACATGTGCTTTAGCATGATCCACTTGTGCCTGGTTTCGGGTGGGATGGAGCTCATGTCCTTCCTGGTGGCTGGGGCAGTGCTGGGTTTGGGTTTAGGATGAGAACTACGTTGGTAACATGCCAATGGTTCAGTTGTGGCTGAGCAGCACTTATGCTGAGTCAGGGACTTCTCAGCTTCTTCTTCTGCCCGGCCCGCCAGGAGCTGGGGGGGGGCATGGGGTGCTGGGAGGGGACAGAGCCAGGACAGCTGACCCTAACTGACCAAAGGGGTGTTCCAGACCATATGACGCCACGCCCAGTAGATAACTGGGAGGAAGGATGGCTGGGGGCTGCTGCTTGGGAACAGAGTGGGCATCTGTTGGTTGGTGGTGGGCAGTTTTTTTCCATTTGCATCGCTTGTTTTTCTTGGGGTTTATTTCTCTTTATTACTTTCCTTTTCATTACAATTTTTTAATTATTTTATTTCAAATATTGAACTCTTTTTCCCTCAACTCATGAGCTGTCTTGCTTTTACCCTTCTGATTCTCTATCCCATGCCACTGGGGGGAGCAGTGTGCGAACAGCTGCGTGGGGCTTTGTTTCTTGCTGGGGTTAAACCATGATAGTACTTTTGGGCACCCAACGTGGGGGCCTCAAGGGTTGAGATAGCAACTAAATCTGACCAGAATGTGTTAAACCAAATCTGTAATAAACATTATTTATATTAGTTTAATAGTCACTGGCCACCATGTTGATTTGATTGTCCTTGGAGCTGTTGTGCTTGCTCTTGGAATTGTGTACGTAACCCTTTCCTTGCCGTACGTGTTCCCTGTTGTGCCGTTTATCACCTCTGGGGGAGGTTGTCGTGATGATGGATGGTGTAACACTGGCTTATGGTAGAAAACTATTGGTCACGAGAGACTAATGAGGTAGTCGTACTTGGCATTGCTGTCATCTCTGTCCTTCGAGAGCCATCTCTCGGAAACTGTTCATAATTACACCCTTTACCTGTGCTACTCGGAGAGCCAGTCTGTGGGGGAGACACGGAGGGGATGCTTTCCTCCGCTCCTTCACCTTCCCGTTCTCCTCCAGGCTACCCCAACCTCGGCGACAGGCACTGCATCCGAATCGGAGGAGCAGCCCGAGCCAGAGCCGGTCCCCGCTGTGCCCAGGAAGAGATCTGGGAAGCGAGAGTCAGCTCGTCTGGTAAGGGAAGAGGCGGACGAGTCAGACTGCTCCGAAGGAGGGCCATCACAAGAAGAGGAGGAGGAAGAGGAAGAACTCCTAAACCAGGCGGTAACCACCCTATCCCTGTCCCGGAGTCAGCTGCGAGAAATGCAAAAAAAGTTCCGCCGCCTGCCAGGGGAGCAAATTGTCACTTGGCTGCTCCGGTGCTGGGATAATGGGGCCAGTGGCCTGCTCCTAGAGGGCAGGGAAGTCAGCCGGCTGAGGCCCCTTTCTAGGGAATGGGACATAGACAAAGCGGCTGGAAAAGGGGAGGAGCTCTTGAGCCTCTGGAGACGACTCCTGTCAGCCGTGAAGGAGAAGTACCCCTTCAAGGAAGACGTTATCTGCTTCCCGTTCAAGTGGACCACCATGGAGAAAGGCATCCAGTACCTGAGGGAGCTGGCTGTGGTGGAGGTGATGTACGAGCACCTGGACCACGCGCGGTTATCCAAAGATCCGGATGAAGTCAAGTGCACGTGGCCCATGTGGTCGAAGTTCACCGAGAGTGCGCCGCCATCCTACGCCAGGCCGTTGGCAGTCATGTCCTGGAAATACGGAAGCGAACCGACGGTGGATAAGTTGACTGGCCAGCTCCAGCAACTGAACCCGTGTCTCGTTCTCTCCCTCCTCTCGGCTGTGGAGGAATTGTCCCAAGAATTCCAGGAGCTCAAAGAGCTCCTGTACCGCTCCCCAGCTCTACAGGCCCATGTCTCGGCTGCGAGGGGTAAGCGTTCCTCTGCGCAAGAGAGAGGATACGGCGGGTACATGTCACGCCGTGCCCTCTGGTTTTACCTGTGTGACCACGGAGAGGACATGAGGAGGTGGGATGGAAAACCCACCTCGGCCCTGGAGGCGCGGGTACGTGAGCTGCAAGGAAGAATAATCCCAAAAGGAGGTTCTTCCAGGAGAACTGCGTCAGGCTCCGGTGGACAGTTCTCCAGACAGAGTAAAAGGGCTAGTCTTACTCCTTATCTTAATGATGGCTTTTCTTCTGATTCGTATTTAGAAGAAGGGAGTAGCGAATACTACGATGAAGACTAGAGGGGGGGCCCTTCCTCCAGCCAGGTGGAGGAAAGGACAGCTGGATTTTTTGGACTCTGCGGATCTGATGGCCTGGTACATCAGACTCACAGCAGTATAGGGCTCTAGTGGACACCAGTGCAGCGTGTAGCCTAACGCCATCCAACTCTAAAGGAGCAGAACCCACCCTATTTCTGGAGCGACAGGAGGATCTCAACAGTTCTGACTGGGAAAGGCTGGCACAAACACCCCATCGTGACTGGCTCAGAGGCCCTGTGCATCCTTGGCATAGGCTATCTCAGGAATGGGCATTTCAAGAACCCAGAAGGGTTTTGGTGGGCCTTTGGTATCTCTGCCTTGGAGGAGATTGAAGTCTTGCCCGCTTTGCCTGGTCTCTTGGAGGGTGTGAGCTGAAGAACATCATGAACATCATGAAGAACTTGGCAGTTGGTACCAGTTGAGATTCCGTGATCATTCTCATCTGTGAGCTGAGCGATCAGCTGGAGAGCCAGAGGATGCTCAGCAAAACTCACTCACCCTTCCACAGCCCCATGCAGCTGGTGCAAACATGTAATGGAGAATGGAGACTGACAATGGACTGTCATGGCCTGAGTGAAGTCATCCCACTGCTAAATTCTGCCGTGGTGGACATCTTAGAGGTTCAGTATGAACTGGAGTTGAAGGCAGCCAAGTGGTATGTCATGACTGATGTCACTAATGTGGTGTTCTCGATTCCTTTGGCAGTGGAGTCCAGGCCACAACTGGCTTTCACTTGGAGGGATGTCCATTACACCTGGAATCAACTGCACCAGGGGTGAAACATAGCCCCACCATCTGCCATGGACTGATCCAGGCTGCACTGGAGAAAGATGAAGTTCCAGAACACTTGCAGCATATTGACGACATCATCATGTAGGGTGATGTGAAAAGAAGTCTTTTGAGAAAGAAAAAAGAAAAAAGGAAAAAAAAAAAAAATCCTTCTGAGAGACAGTTTTGCTATAAAACCAAATAAGCTCAAGGGACCTGCACAGGAGATGCAGTTTTTAGGAATAAACTGACAAGATGGGCATTGCCAGATCCCAGTGGGTGGGATGAAGAAGATAGCAGCTGTGTCCCCACCAACCAGTAAAAAGGAAACACAGGCTCCCTGAGTGCTGTGGGTTTCTGGAGGATGCACATCCCAGACTACAGCCTGATTGTGAGCCCTCTCTGCCGAGTGACCTGGAAGAAGAACGATTTTAAATGGGTCCCTGAGCAGCAAGTCTTTGGACAAATTAAACAGGAGATTGTTCAAGTGGTAGCCCTAGGGCCAGTCCAAAACTGCTGAAGGAGAAGGTGAATTGAGCCAGTTTGTGGATCGGAAAGCTGTCCAACCGGCTTTAGATATCACTGAATAAAGAAAATGGCCAGTGCTCTGGCTCTCAACTGACTCCTGGATGGTGGCAAATGCTTTAGGGGGGGGTGGTTACAGCAGCAGAAGTGGAGCAACTGGCAGGGTTGAAGTAAACCCATCTGGGCTGCCGGATTGTAGCAAGGTGTTGCTGCTCGGGTAGAGGACCTGGTTTTGAACGTATGTCCTGTGGATGCCAGGATTGGAGTGGCCTTTGGCAACCTAAGGGTGAATTATTTATAGCTCAGTGGCCCTATGATACCTTGGGTCACCAAGGAGGGGATGCATCATATAGATGGGCTTGTAGTCAAGGGGTGGACTTGACCATGGACACTAGTGCAGAGGTTGTCCCTGAGTGTGAAATGTGTGCTGTGATCAAGCAAGCCAAGAGGTTAGAGTCTCAGTGGTGTGGGCGACAAATGGCTGAAGTATAAATACGGAGAGGTCTGGCAGATGGACTACATCACACTGCCACAGACCCACCAGGGAGGTGCCATGTACTCACGGTGGTGGCAGCAACCACTGGATCACTGGAAACATGTCCAGTGCTCCATGGTCCACCTGGAACTCCATCCTGGGCCTCGAAAGGCAGGTCTTGTGGTGACATGGTACTCCAGAAAGAATGGAGTCAGACAACAGGACTCGCTTCTGAAACAGCCTCACGGACACCTGGGCCAAGGAAGGAGTGTGGCACATTCCCCATCATGCTCCAGCTTCCAGGAAAACCGAATGACCCAGTGGACTGTTCAAAACTACACTGAGAACAATGCGGGAAGGAACCTTCAAACATTGGGACACAAGTCTAGCAAAGGCCACTTGGGTGGTCAACACCAGAGGATCGGCCAATGGAGCTGGTCCTGCCCGATCCAAACTTCCCCTGTGGAAGGGGACAGAGTCCCTGGAGTGCACTGGCCTGGTGTGGCTTGGACGGAGTCCCAGGCCTGCCGTGGTCTGCAGGCCATGAGCAGCTGGGGCTCGGCCAGGGCAGCTGCCTGGAGCTGGCTACGGGTCTATCCCAGAGCAGGAACGATCACACCAAGTGTAAAAGGGGGAGTGTGCAGAGCTCAGAGGGACTCCCTGCTTGGGTTTGTGCTCCTTCTGCCTGGGACTCCTCCTGCTGCTCCTCTTCCTTCTCCTCCTGCTTCTCCTCACTCCTGGAGGGGCTCCCTTCTCACCCTGCTCCTGAGGACTGCTTTGCTGGTGATGGTGGCCACTGTACATTTGCTGGGCTGAGTAGAACTTTGTATACAGTAGACTGACATTGGTATTAGTTTTGCTGTTTCATTAAATCGGTTTTCATTTAAATCCATTATTCTCGTCTCCTTTTCCCAATCCCCCTTGCCTGGCTGGGGAGGGGCTGTTGTGTGACAGGACAACTGCTGTAGTTTCCATGCACATGAAAAATAAGCTGGGGAGGACACTCTCTGAGTTATTCCTGGCTCGGGCAAAGGCAAACCCATCCGTGAAATTGCTTTTGCTCAGGGACCTGGGTGCACGTAGTGGGTGATGTTGAAAGATGAGGAAACCACATGTGTACCTCCAGGGGATTTGATTTTGGGTGAGAATAGGCAACAATTTTAATTGTACGATGTTAATGGCTCTGTAGTACCATGTGTCGCCATGATGGTGGTTGCTGGGTGATGCTTGAGCAGCATTGCAATAAGAATTACCCAGATTAATGAAGAATGAATTGTGGTAGAACCTAGCACTGGCTTCCTCATGCAGCAGGCCAAAACCACATGCTGTTTCTCCTGCCCTGAAGGACTGTTACAGCAGATGGAACTCAAAAACATGGACTATATCAACTCAATGGACATTTTAGAGGGTTGGCCCTTAGACTAGGGGGGTGATACCTGTGTGTGTATCAAGACAGGAAAGGTGGTGGTGATGAATTGGGATGTATTGGGAGGTGTGAGACCTGGGCATGACGTGGATGGTGTAAAGGGTAGATATTGTCCTGATTTTGGCTGGTAGATATTGTCCTGGTTCTTCCTGTTGGCCGGGGCAGTGCTGTGGTTTGGATTTAGGATGAGAATAACATTGGTAACATGCTGATGGTGGCTGCGCAGCGCTTAAACTGAGTCAAGGACTTCTCAGCTTCACCTGCTGCCTGGCCAGCAAGGTATCTAGAGGGGCACAAGGAGCTGGGAGGGGACAGAGCCAAGACAGCTGACCCCAGCTGACAAAAGGGGTGTTGCAGACCATATGACATCATGCCCAGGGTGTCAACTGGGAGGAAAGCTGGCTGGGGGCTGCTGCTTGGGAACAGGGTGGGCATCTGTTGGTGGGTGTGGGCAGTTGTTTTTCATTTGCATTGCTTGTTTTTCTTGGGTTTTATTTCTTTCTCTTTTTGTGGTTCGTTCTTTCTTTTTCATTTCAAGCTATCATAATTGTTTGATTTTATTTCAATTATTAAACTGTTCTTATCTCAACCCATGAATTTTCTTACTGTTATCCTTTGGATCTTCTGCCCCATGCCACCAGGGGGGAGCAGTGAGCATGGGGATTAGTTTCTGGCTGGGGTTAAACTGACAGCAGGGGATTTTTTTTTTTTTATGAAGGGAAGCCACAGTCTTATCCCCTGTGCCCTATAGCTTGGCCTGGTGGATGTGGTTGGACCACAGGATGCATGAAGTGCTTGCCTGTACAGTCTGAAACAATTTATACAGTACCAAATTCTAGTAAAAATAAAACCCTTGGGATTTATTTTCTCTTTGTTTAAGTCTCTAAATGCACTATATTCAGTCAGGTACCAAAAATATATTGAAAATAACCTAGCTAGACTAGAAACAAATATTTGCTTGGTTAAAGCAGCTCTTCTCAGTGGCTCTTGTGCAGAGCCTTTAGAACATTTCCAGTTGATTTCTCTGCTGACAGATAATTGAATTGTGCCACTTAGGAAGGTTTTCCACAAAGAAAGTAGTTGGCAAAATGCTGCCTTGTTCTTAATTAGCCCTAGCTGGTTTCAGTCAAGCAGGCTGGGGACAATGTTTCTGTTGATAAGAATATTGAATTGTGGTTGTGTGCACATCAGATAGTTCTGTTACCTGGAGCCCGCGTGGGGGGAAGCAGAGAGAATTCTCTTCCAACACAACACATTCTGTTTATTGCTAGCTGATCCGTTGCCAAATTGAACCAAACGTGTGATGTTGGAGAGAGTGGAGTTGGAAAAAGAACTGGGGTCTTGTTTTGCCTTTTGACACTCTGTATTAAACCCCTGACGTTTGCATTTCAGCGTGCAGATAGCATTAGAACTGCTTTGAACAGTTCTGTGGAACGGCACAGTACTGATCAGGAGGACACTGAATCGGCCACCCAGGTAATACGGCACAAAACCAGGTAAAAAGCACAATTAGAAGCTGCGTGGAGGGGTAAGTGTGTTTGGTTTCTGCAGCAGGGCAGGTGGGTGCAGCCTTGCCTTGTGCTTCATACCAGAACTGACTCTGCTGGGCGACTGAGACCTTGGCATGGTGCTCCTGTGAGGGATTATCTGTGTGCTTGTCTTTTTCCTCCTTCAAGAAAAGTGCTCTCCAGTGATACAAAGAACAGAAAAAGGTCATGTCTGCTATGTCTAGTCAGGCCTGTGCCTATCTGTAGAACGTAGAGTCACAGAATTGTTCTGGTTGGAAGAGACTTTTAAGATGATCAAGTCTAACCATTAACCCAGCAGTAGCCCATTGTCTCCCCACTAACCCATGTCCCTCAGCACCACATCTCCATGGCTTGGAAACCCCTCCAGGGATAGGGACTTCACCACTGCCCTGGGCAGCTTGGCCCAGCCGTGGACAACCCTTCCAGGGAAGATGTTTTTCCTCATGTCCAGCCTAAACCTCCCATGGTGCAACTTGAGGCCATTTCCTCTTGTCCTGTCACTTGTTCCTTGGGAGAAGAGCCCGACCCCCACCTGGCTATGCTATGAAGAGCAGGATGCTTTGCTCTTCCCCTTCCCTTCTGTACATTGACAGACACTTCCCTTAAGATGAGTAGTGCTTCTTTTCTCCGTCTAAGAATTCTTTTGTACTCTGGAGGAAACACTTGGAGGCATGGGGAGCTTGGATGTGAACGGAGTCAGATACCAACAGGACCAAGAGACCCCAGCCCTTTTACATACAAAGCACAATGACTTGTTCTGCTGTTCTTCATTCAGAACTTTATTAAGCAGCATGTGCTAGCTCAAATGTGGCAGGAAGAAAAAAAAAATTAGCCTGCAAGTAGAATAAGGTGTCACTCCCTATGTTTTTTACCTTGACTGTAGTAGAAAAATCCTGAGGGTTTCTGTTCTATAAACTTTCCTTTCCAGTGGTGTGGAAAGAGTGAATTTTTGAGGTGTGTGACTTTCTACCTGTGCAGCCTTTAACAATCGAAGTAGCTGACCTGTTACTGTGAAAGTTGAATGGTGGCTCTTCCCTTGTTAGCAGGCAGCAAGGTAGAAAGAACTTCCATAACTTCCATCTGGTTTGGTGCTGCAGTTGAGGCTCCAGAAAAGGCTCTGGGATTGGTACAAGGCTTTGCTAAGATCTTGGGGGAGGAGATGCAGAACTCCAGGGATGAAAGCCTTGATTTGAGTCTAGCAACTCTTTAGTAACTTTTTGGGGTAGCTTGAAGGTTTTGTTGGCATTTTCCCTGTTCTTTATGAGTAAAAGGCTGCTGTCCTCCTGCCTTCTAAACGCTTTCTGCATTTAGTGTTAACTTGGGCTGGCCTCTACCAACTTGATCACCCTTGTTACGTAGCTGCAGAGGTGTGCTGGAGTCAAGCTTGCTCACTACCCTGCTCCTGAGAGTACTTCTGTTGTGGAGAGAAGACTTGGGAGCCTGGGGATGTCCTTCCTCAAGGAAACTCTTGTCACTTTTGTGTCTCTGTGATTTTGATTTCAGTTTTTAACTGAGTACCTCGTGTATTGTAGATGTTCTCTTTCTTCTTACCAGAAGAATGTGTTGCTATCATCAAACTCTTGTCTGTGTGGAAAGGTCTAGTGGCAAACAAGCTACTTCAGCAGGTTACGTTTTGATTTTTAAAAAGCTTTTTAAATGCAAGGTGAGGCCTGGATTTCCAAAGAAAAATGTCTGTAACCTCTCACCTTATGGCACAGCCTCCAAGAGAGACTGTGGCAACTCTGGCTGCTTTGTGCTGCAGCTTTAGAGTAAGTTTTACAATCTTTCCATCTCTTTTTCTTCTTGTTTAAAATCAATATACCCACTGGGAATCTTTGTAGATCTCCAACAGCAAGCAGCAGACCCATGGGAGTCTTCCCAATTCCCAAAAAGACCCATTCTGCTGCTTGAAAATGACACTTCTGCAGGGAGCTAAATGTGCTCAGATAAAAGCCCCCTTCTTCACGAGGAGTCTTGGTTTTCCTCTGTGCTCTATGTCATATTATGACTTAGTTCTATCTAGAATTCAAAGGTCTTAAGATAGAATTTCCCCCCCACATGTAGCTTATGGTTTTGGGGTGTCAGCTGAGAGGCATCAGTGAGCACCATACCGTCATGGTGTAAATGATGTTAAAGGTCTGTTAAAGGCTCTGAATATTGACAGCTTCTCACAGCCCTGTCCACGGAGTGAGATGCTCTGCATGGGCTGTTCTCCAGTTGTGCTCCTGCTATTCTTCCAATTTTCTTGTGTCTGTGCTTATTGGTTTCTGTAATCCTGGGTGGAGGTCAGCTAGGACTGCCAGCCCTAACCAGTAAGCTGTTATTACAGAGCTGGAGCTTGCCTGGTGCAGAGCTCTTGCCTCCTTCCCGTGAGAATCAAGTTTATTTTCATGGCTTAAGGACTTAGTGACTCTGTTTAGAGACACTTGTGAGGATCCAGTGAGATTCAGGAAACAAACTCTTGGAGCCTGAAGGAGGAGCCATTTCTGTGGGGTCCAGGTTTCTGCATCCGAGGTCTGCTGTTGTACTGAAGCTTGTTGTAACCTTTTCTGTGGTTAGTTTTGATATTTTTGTCTCTAAAACCTCCTTGGTAACCACTCGTGCTCAGACAGAGGAATGGGCTCTGGATGTTGATTTTTGCATCTTTGTATGTTAAACACCACCCCACCCCACCCCCTTAGATGAGCTCGCTTATGTCTGAGCATCGTGGAATGATTTGGTTGCGAAGGGACCTTTCAAAGTCTAGTCCAGCCCCCCTGCAGGCAGCAGGGACATCTGCAGCTAGAGCAGGTTGCTCAGAGCCCCGGCCAACCTCACCTGGAATGGTTCCAGGGATGGGGCAGTGACCACCTCTCTGGGCAACCTGAGACAGGGGCTCACCACCCTCAGAGTCAAACATTTCTTCTCTCTAGTCTAAATTTCCTTCTTTTGGTTTGAAATCATCCCCCCCCCTTGTCCTGTCCCAACAGGCCCTGCTCAAAAGTCTGTCCCCAGCTTTCTGACAGGCCCCTTGCAGTCCTGGCAGGCCACCAGAAGGTCTCTCCAGTTGGAGCCTTCTCCTCTGCAGCTGCCCAAGCCCAACTCTCTCCTGCTGGACTCCCAGCAGAGGGGTTCCCCCCTTGGGTCATTGCTGGGGCTCCTCTGGTCCCACTCCAGCAGGTCCCTGTCTTTTCTGTGCTGAGGACTCCAGAGCTGCCCCAGCACTGCAGGGAGGGCAGGATCCCCTCCATCCATCTGTCCATTTTCTGATAGAAATGGCCCAGGGAAGAAGGAAGTGATCTTGTCTGTATCTCAGCCGTCATGGGTTCCCTGCTCACTGCTCCACCCAGCAGAGCTTTTCTTTTCTGCACCTGCCTGTGTGGTGATGGGAAGCAACAGCCAGGTTGTCCTGTACCTCTTCTTCTGGGTCTGCTGAGATCATCCTGGCCCTGGGTACAATCCAGGAGATCATTCCATGGAGCTCGTGTCCTGCTTTCAGATGTGTTGCTCTGAGGCAGTTGTGCTCTCCCCCACCACATCACCCTAGCATGTAGGGGGGTGGGGGTGTGTGGGGAGCCCTTCTGTAAAGTTGGGAATTTGCAGAGGTAGGCTGGTGACATGTTTAAGGTTGTGGTGTTCCTGCAGCTCTGCTTTGGGCCCTGGCATCCCTGCTTGGTTCACCTGGTTGATGGGAAGTGACATTTATCTTGGTTTTTGCTCTCCGAAGGCGTTGTGTGGGGACGTGGCGTTACTGGGACATCTCCAGGGCTTTGGGATGACTCAACGTGTTTTGCACATCAGCTGCGTGGTGCAGGCTGAGATGCAGCTCTCAGAGAGCCCAGGCTCTTGGGTTCGAGCAGCGGTCCCTGGCCGTGTGCCCATGCCACGACTGTTGAGTCTCCCAAGGTGGCTCTACCAAAGGCCCCAAACTAGCCCTGGGTAGGAGCTGACTTGGCTAATACCTCTCTGATGTATCTGACATGCTCGAGTAACCCTCTGGGGTACCAGATGATGGCTAAACCCTTCAGCCCTTCACGGAGGTGATTTGCTTCTTCATGGCACCTTGCTTGGTACCATCTTGCTGCTCCACCACAGAGCTGAGCTGGTCTGTGCTGGGGACGTACTGGTTGACCTGGGCGGGCTACCTCAGCATCCATCAGCTCCATTTTCACGTCAGCACTGTCAGCTGGCTGCCGGGGGGTGAGGGGATAAAGGCTGCATGGGTCTGCTAGCAGCCAGGAGACACCATCTTTTGTTGCTGCAGAACCTGGTGAACCAAAGCATCAGAAATTCCCTCCTCAAACCCATATCCTCTTCACAACGACGTTTGCTGTCCTTAGATTTCTGCTCTTTTCAGCTCTTTACTGTTGCATCGCTTGTCAAGTCAGCTGCAGAATCTGACTACATCAAATGCCCAATTTTTCAGAGAGCATTAATTATGAGTAATTAACGTTTGTCTTTGAGATCACTTCCAAACGTGGCATAAAAGATACAGCGTCCTAGAACAGGGGCTCTTTGAACATGCTTTGAAATAGCTTTGTTCTGTGTTTTGCTGGGGCTTTCAAAGGAGCCTGAAGGAAGAGGGTATGGCAGGTGAGCGTCTGGTTGCCTCCAGCACCTCCAAAAACTTTGTTGATCTGATGAGAAAAAGCCCCGTGGCAAATTTTGCAAAGACTTAATTACTTTTTTTCCTTTTCTCCTAGACGGAGAGATTGCCTCTTGAACTCAGCTCAAGACTGGAAGAGGCGGTGGAAGCGAGTGAGGTGGAAGCAGAGCCTGGTGAAGCAGAAGACTTTGAGGCCAGGGGAAGTCGCTTTTCCAAGTCAGCCGATGAAAGGCAGCGGATGTTGGTTCAGAGGAAGGAGGACTTGTTGCAGCAAGCTCGGAAGTACGTTCCTTCCTAAAACTCCAGCCTGGCTTAAACTCGGTTATAGTCCCCCCGAATGATTTTCAAGTGGGTTATGACCACTGAGGGCTTCAGCTGATGCAAAAAGTAGTAAGAGGAATGATTACGTCCACTCAGGATGCTGTTTAAGAGAAGTGGAGCTGATAAAAACCCAGTTCTGAAATGGCGTCCCATGGTGTATACGTGTCCATCCTGGGCACCCTGCTGTGGGTGACCCTGCTGGAGCAGGGGGGTTGGATGAGATGATCTCCAGAGGTCCCTTCCAACCCCCCTATGTTGGTAAAGCCAGAGGTCAACACCACTGCAGAGAGAGGGGTCTCACGTGTGTTCCCACCACGTTAATGAACTTTACTAGTTAAAAAGAGAAGGAAAAAGTCCTTTAGTGATGCAGAGAAAACTTTTTTGCATTAGTAACAAATGATGTCCTCTCCTTTGTGTCTCAGGGAGGCTACTGAGAGGGTCTGCAAGCACTACACTGGGTTATGGGTCCTTCGGTGTTGTCAGGCTACTGATGCTCTTTGGTTTTTCCACACTCAAATGTCTTCATATAAATAACTGGGGATATGACACCTTTTAAGTATCTGTCTATAAATAGATTTGCTCCTATAGTAATTTTCTTTGGTGTTTGAAAAACATCATTTAAGGAGACAAAGTGTTTTTGACTTTCTGCTTTACTGGTTCCCTTCCTGCATTGAGGAGCTGTGGGATTGCAGACTTCGGTGTTTTGTCACTGAGCATAAAAACCTCGTTGGGATGTTCACTCCACTGCTGCTTCCTTGTGTCTTTGCCTTTCCAGGAACTTTGCAGCCCTGGTGCCCCATCTCTCAAGGGCTTCTTGTGTCCTCGGGGAGCGAGTGCTTGTGGCAGACACCAGAGAGTGGTGGAATACTGGGGATGGGGAGATTCAGTGACTCTGGGTGAATCGCTCTGAGAGTAGAGGCCCTCCATTTAGGGCTTGGTCCCTCCCACACCCATGAAGATCTTGCTTCTAAGAGGTTCTGCTAACTCTGCACAGTCTGCTGTACATTACAAGGGCTTTTTTTGTTTGAGTACATAGCTTGTGGGCAGTTTTATCCAGGTATTTTCCTGAATTCAGTGTGCCTCACCCTCTGTCACTTCAGACTTGCTGCTGACGTGTTTTCTAGAGCCAGAACGAGTTGGACTCTGCTCACCCATCTTCTTCTTCCTCTTGCAGGCGTTACTTGAACAAAAGCTCGGATGAGGAGGGGAGCAGGGAGAAGCCCGCTCCTCCCCCTGAGGGAGCCGATCCCGTCGCCCTGCGCCGCAGGACGCTCGCCGCTGCTGCCGAACGCAGGCTGCAGATGCAGCAGAACTCGTAGCCCCCTCCTTTCTCCTCCTCGTGGGAAATGTTCACTCAATAAACGAAACGCAAAAAAAAAAACCAACAAAAAAAAACAAAACCCCCAACCCTGCGCTTTCTATACCAGCAGGAAAGTGTCTCCTCACAGCCCGGCCGGCTGCGCTGCGAGCGAGCCGGCCGCCTCTCTGCTGTATAAAGCATGTGGTCTAATAATGTTTGGAGAGCTGACAAATTAACCAATTTATAATTTTTTGGGTTTGTTTTGTAATATTTTTTACGTGACGTTGAGCCCCTCTGCCAACAAAAGGCGATTTCTGACCCACGAGGGTGATTTCTGCAGCTAGCACGAGGGGGGGAGGATGACCACGCAGCCCAGGCTGGGGATGGTGTGTCCCCAAGTTACCTGTGGGTCATGGTTGTGGAGGGCACTCTGGAGCAGGCAGAGTTACTCCAAGGAAGCTTAGAAACGTGCAGCAAACCCTGCGAGAGACGAGCAGGCACCTGCTCTTCAGCCCCTCTCGGTGTCGACGGCAAAGGGTGTTCGTAGGCTGGGGCAGCACCTCTGAAAAGTCAGATTTTGGACTGGATGGAAGTTGGGCAGCCACGTAACATGGAAAATATGGAAGGGCTGAAGTGGCAATTCACATCCATCCTGGCACAAACTAGTTTGTTTAGCATTGCTGGGCTCTCTGTGCACTCCCTGGGGCTGCGTTCTTTGCCTTTTACAGCCAGAACCAACTTGGAGACTTGAGGGCAAGGGGTGAAGAAGAGGAGCCGTGAACCGAGGTCCCAGCCCTGCAGCTCAGTGTTACCCGAGGGTGTGTGATAGACAAAACCTGCCTCTTCTGCACTCCGGAATGACATGGATGGGACTTCACAGAGATACCTCCAATATCTTGCTTTTTAGTTGACTTTTAACCCCACAACTTCAGCCTGAGTTTATTCAGAAAGACTGGAGGAACTGGGGGTGGCTGGACTGGGGGGTGGCTGCTCCTAACCCCTCATTTTCCTAAAGAGCTTCTGACACAACATCCACCCAGAGCTTGCATCGTGGGGTTGTCCATGGCAGTGACTTCATTTTTAAACTTCTGAAGAGTGAGTTCTAGTCCTTTAGCAGGAGCCCAGTATTACCTAGAGTTGTTGGTAACTTTTTTTTTACTGTTTGTTTTTAGGACATTTGAAGATGAACTTAATGAGAGGAGTTGCATCGATGTTTAGGTGGAATAATTTATTTCCATAAAACTCTTTGGGAAGCCTTACTTTGCAATGCTGTTAGTAAACTTCAAAGAGGTTTTCTGAGATCTTCGGTTTTGTTGAGAGCACAGCTGGTTTGGTTTTATTGTTAATAAAAAAAAAAAAAAAAGAAGATTAAAAACCACCAAAAATAAAATCTTGGTCAGTGTTGGAAATTGTTTGGAAATTCCTCTGGTGTGACTTCTGTTCCTGGTGTGTGTTTGGTTTGTAAATACAGCATCTGCCTTTTGGTCTGCTTTGAGTTTCCCTTTATTTTTAGTGACAAAAGCTGCCTTGGGAGTGTTTTCCCAAGCTCTGAGCTGCAGAGCAGGAATTGCTCTGCATGGAAATGGAAGAGAAATAGTGTTGAGGTGCTGTAAAAATGGATTGGGGTTTTGAGCTGCCTGGCAGCGTGTGGAAGGGAGGGGTGAGCAGGGCAGAGTGTGGGTCTCGATTCCAGCAGCAGTCAGAGTCCCGCTGGGAATGCTGACAGGAGAGGAGGAATCTGCACAGGAATCCTTCCCAGGGCCTCCAGGTGTCCTGGAGTTCCTCCTTGCCGAGTTTCTGGGAGGTTTTGTCCACAATGATGGAAAATGACCCCAGCTTCACCTCGGCAGAGGGGATGCCTACAACCAGGATGGGTTTAGACCTAGCTTGGGCTTGTGAGACCTCCACCAGCTTGGCACGTAGGCATCTCTGCCGAGGTGAAGCTGGGGTCATTTTCCATCATTGTGGACAAAATGCACCAACCCCCTCCATGTTCTGGTGCTCTGTGAGCTGGGTGGCATCTTGGCCGCCCCGGATGTCACCACTATGAATAAAATACCTGGAAAGGTGCCTGTGGAGCAGCTTCTCTTGGTCACCAGCCCCCCCTCTGCATGCTGATGGACCCTGCTGTGGAATCCAGCAGCAGATGGGGAGGGAAGAAGATGCTGTGAACCTGTCCTCCACCTTCTCACCCATAGTCCTGCAATGGTTTCCCTTCTTGGGGTGAGGATGTGACCAGAGATGGGTGCCCAGGGTGGTGGGATTTTGGCGGTCGGGGTGCTGAGGGGCAGTGTGGTCCCTCGAGGTTTGGAAGCATTCCTGGGGGTGGTGCTGAGGAACCAGCCCAGTTCCAGGCTGTGCCAGAGCTGTGCCAAGGGGCAACCAGCTGGCGAGGGTCCCACCTGCCACCACAGCACCTGACACCACCGTGTGCAGGGACTGAGTGACTCAGCATGAAGGAGAATGGGAAGAAAACACCAAACTGCAAGAAAAACCCAAATTGTGAAAAAAAACCAACCCAATGTGAACAAAGCCCAAAGTGCTCCTGCAGCAGCGAGGAAGATCTCAACTTTCTTGGAGAACCTTCTTCTGTATCTTAGGGGGGAAAAACTCCCATGTCGTTGGGTTTCTGTTGCTGGGAACTGGAGGACTCGCCCTGATGACTGTCTTTGCATTCCCAAAAGAAAAAAATCAAATAATAATAAAAAAATAATAGTACAAATATTTTTTTCTTGCTTCGGAAGGATTTTGGGGTGGAGGATTTTCACTCCTGGTGACTCTGCATTCCCAAAAGAAAAAATAAAATTAAAAAAATAAAATAATAATACAAGTATTTTTTCCTTGCTTCGGTAGGTTTTTGGGGTGGAGGATTTTCACTCTTGGTGACTATCTTTGCATTCCAAAAAGAAAAAAGGTAAATAAGAATAGTTAAAAACAAAACAAAACAAAAACACAAATATTTTTTTTCTTGCTTGGGGAGGTTTTTGGGGTGGGGGATTTTCACTCCTGGTGACATTCTGAAGCAACCTGAGCTTTCATGGAGGGGCTTTA